GGAATCTAAAACACGTACCACCGTATCCCCATGGGCTTGCACTCACGAGCCACGGGCCCCTGCCTGATCAGCCGATTCCTTCCCACACCTTCGCCTTCGCCAGATCATCTTTCACGAAGCATCACAGGCGTGTTTACCCACTGGGTTCCTTGGGACGCGGTCGTAGCATACGCCAACACAACCCTGCCACACCATCAGGGGCTTGTGGTCACAGCCCCGCCGTCTGATCAGCGGATTTCTGTCCACCGTTGTTTGTGCGATATCTGTACCCAAACATGTACCCTCCTATGCGCACGCACTTGCACTCAGAGTCGTGTCTGCCCAGTGGGTTCCTTGCGTGCCAGGCCAGTACTATACTAGCCTACGCAACCACGTACCGCCATGCTGCGTGGGCTTGCACTCACAGTCCGCCCGACTGATCAGTAGATTCCTTCCCACCCTTGTCCCCAACAGAGGGCACAGTTTTGGACGCGCGTCACTGCGCAAGGCTTCCAGCGGAAGCCCTTTTCACGATAGCTCGCTCTGCTAGGCCTAAGTCCGAGAGTAGCCAGACAATTGTTTTGCCGCTAGAGTGGAACGCTAGAAGCTTTTCTAACCTTGAGCTGACCAATCGATTCACTGCCTCAGTTTTTTCCACCAAGCGTGCTCCCGAGACGTCTCGTTCTGCGAACGACCAAATGAAAGTGCGCGCCAGAGGGTTTACGGCTAAGGTTCGAAATAGGTTAATGCATGCTCTTAATGGCAACATCATCGAGTACGAAGTGTATACTCCGACCTCCTCTAGAATTTGGGCACTCTCTTTCACACTGCCTAATGGGATGATAGTTTTATCGTACTCCATTAAAGGACGCAATGTGTGGCTCAGGTATTATAGAAGAGGCATTACCAAAAGCTCTATGGGCTGCTAAGTCGAGCGGTTGCCTCCAAGGGAAGCGAGCCGGGAAGCTGCTGGACGCAACGCAACCTTCCGAAAGAAGGCTCTGGAAAAGTCTGGGGATTCAGACAGGCAAGCCCAGAATTGGGCAGAAGCCAGAGGGCGAGGACACCACTCCGGATTTCTCGTGGAATCCGGCTACGGATCTCACATGGAATCAGGTGGCTCCTTCTCGACGACGACCATTTGCCAATGGACAGATTCACCAATGGTCAGAATTACTAGTGGTTACGGGAGATAACAGCTCGGCACTGCCGAGGAAGCCTCTGACCCCAAAACCCGATCCAAGTGGCTACCAAATCCGCGACACCATCGGGGGAACCTCTCGCGGAACTAGATCCACTCAGGCTAAGGCACGCCGTTTTCAACAGTGGACTCAGAATAAAAGATCTCGGCGCCAGGAGTATAGAGCCTGGAAAACCGCTAATAAAGACCACCCTGCGGACTCACGGTGGACCTATCCCTGTACCCCCGTCTAGTCCACGACCGACCGATTACCGCCGCCTCCAGTCCAAGGTTCGAAAGACCCAAAGCACGCCCACAAATTGGCGATATCATCAGCACTCTTCCCCTTTTTCCCTTAAACCGCATACTAGACTCAATATCGCCACTTGGAATATAGAAGGCCTTAAAGAGGTCGCCAAACATGATCAGATTCTCCTTTTTGCTAAGCAGCATCGTTTTCACCTATTAGCTGTTCAAGAAACCAAGGCCGACTCTAGCCACAGTTTTTGTAAATCAGGGTGGGAGATCTTACACTCCAGCACGCCCGCTGGCAAACACCATGGCGTGGGCTTCTTCGTTTCCCCATTTCTACGGCCATACGTCTCCAATTTTTTGGCCCACGGCCCCCGCCTTTGTGAACTCACTATTCACATTATTCCCCACCCCGTCACTATTATGTGTGTATATGCTCCCAGTCAAGTTGAGGATTCCGCTGAGGATCTCAAACGGAAACAAGACTTTTGGGATTCCCTGGACCACTTAATCTCTTCTCATTCCAATGCAGATCACTGTCGTATTGGGCGACTTCAACGCCCGACTTTTCGCCTCCATGACAAAAGATGCCCCGGGCCTCGGCCCACACGTGTGGGGCAGGCGCCAAGCTCTCGTTGACCCCGATAGGGACAACGCAGAATATCTCATTGAATTCATGAACTCACATTCGCTTCTCCACGCTCCTTCCCAGCATCTCCTTTCCCAAGCAGGTTACTTATAAAGAAATGACGTGCGCTGACCCCCTCCTTACTAACCCTACGGTCGAAGATTGGGCAGCGCTGGACCATACTTTACTCACTACTCCCCTCTCCAAGTCTTTTACTTTTCATGGCTCCATTTTCCAACAGCTCATAAACACACGCCACCTCCCCACCTACGGGACTTTATCATGTCACTATCCGGAACGACCCCAACCCGACTCTGCAGATAAACTTGACTTTTCGCAAACCCAATCTGTTTACAAGGCCCTCGAGGCCGATCTCCTCTTTTCTACCGATAATCAGCTTCCTTATCCGGACCACCCGGCTACGCCTCCGCAGATATATGTGACAGCTTATACTGACGGCTCCTGCCCGAATAATAAAGTAGTCTCTCCTGAGAATCCCGCTGGATGGGGATTTGCGGTCACCAGCTCTTTGGTTAAGGAAGAAGCCACTCAGGACACACAATGGGACATCTCCTTTGGCCCGGTTAAAACTACGCCTACAGATACTCATGTACTGCCCGAAATTTGGGGCTCCAATAATACCGGCAAACTCATAGCCCTCATCGAGCTCTTTGATTATCTTCTCTATTATTCCAATCTTCCCTCCTTTTCCGATATCACCATTTATACGGACTCTGAGTATGCGCTCCGGGTGATTTTGGGTGACTCTCTTCCCAATACGCATCAACAACTCGTTATTATACTCTTGCGCAGCAATACTGTACTGCTCTGCGCACTCTCCATTATGTGACGCTCGGCGTTATCGGCAAGGAGTTAGCGGACTCCCTTGCAAAAAAGGGCGTTACTGAATACGACTCTCTGGGTAGATTTTCAGGTTCACGCACTGCTGCGCTCTCTCCTCCCGACATTGGTTACTCCTCTGAGGCGTGGTTGTCTCTTTCCCCCGACGCCCAAAACGCCTACTTACTAGAACTCATACAAAAACACACCCCTCTTATTCCAACGCTCCCTGTTTCGCCTAAGAAGCCCTGGATCTCTCCGGCTACTTTGGAATGCAGATCCTCTTTCCAAAATAGGACTGATCTCACCGAACAGGAGGTCAAACAACATCGAAATCGCATTAAGAAACTCGCCAGACGCGACAAGAAACAGTTTATCTTGGCTAACCTCCAGGAGGATTGTCATGGTTCCGCCATACAACAGTGGCGTACCGCACGCTCCATGAGAAAGGATTTTCGCCCTTCCCCTACCCATTTTAATTAATCAATTCTCAAGGCAAATTGGTCTCCAAATCGCGCCAACCAAGTATGGAAGGCTCCTTCTCCCGAAACCTTTCCAGATACTCCCTCTTTTCCCGAAATATCCCAGAGGCTTCCCGCCCATTCAACATGGAGGAACTTAATTGTCCTCCGCGCCCTAGGTAAGCGCAAGGCTCCAGGCCCCGACGGCGTTCCAGCAGAGCTACTTCAAAACGCCCCCTACATTTTTCGTCTTTATTTATTAGACCATTACAATCATTGTTTCATGACAGGAGAGGCCCCAGCCTCCTGGCTCCGTTCAGAGTTCAGAGGTTGTCATGTTGGTCAAAAACCACCAGAAAGATACTAAGCTCTTTTCCAACTATCGACCCATTTCTCGATCCAATACAGTTACAATGTATAAGATATATGCCTCGCTCCTTCAGAAACGCCTGGCGGTGCACTTTGATCACCGAGCCCGCCATACCCAATTTGGGTTTCGTTCCGGCCGCTCAGTTACCCAGCCTATACATATTTTGCGCCGCCTTCTGGAGGTTCATGAAAGGCAGACAGAACCATTTCACGCCATTTTCCTTGATTGGGCCAAGGCCTTTGATTCTGTTTCGTTCTCCGCCATACAGGCCTCTCTTCAGTACATTGGCGTACCGGCTCCATTTCGGCAGGCCCTCATTATACAATAATCCCACTTTCATTGTTCGTGACAGTAACCAACGCTCCGAACGAAGCACGCAAACAAGGGGGCTCCGTCAGGGTTGCCCCCTCTCCCCTTACTTATTCGGCTTTGTCCTCACTCACCTTTTTGAGGATGTCGAAAGACAGTATACGGCCGAGCATGGAACTCATGGAACTATCTCTGGCGTCCTGCGCCTGGGCGCCACATTATGGGATTTGGAATATGCAGACGACACGGTCCTCTTATCTGACTCCTTTTCCCAAGCACAAATCTTCCTTCACTTGGTACAGAAAGAAGGAGCCCGACGTGGCCTGTATCTCAATTATGACAAGTGTGATCACCTCTCCCTTAACTCCCCCCTTCGCATCTTATTTGACCCGAACTATCTCCTTGCCCCAGTTGAGGACCTACAAGTCCCGCTCTCCGACGCGGTTAAGTACCTCGGGGTATATTTGGACCCGCGATCCACAAATCACAAAGACATTCCGAGCTTACAGCGTGCAGCCGGCAGGACAGACATGGCACACTCACTCGTGCATCGCTCATTTTGGCAGCACACAGCAGGAGGCGTTGTATGTCGTCCCGTCCGCACCAACAAAAAAAAGGTTGGGCGGACGGCGACAGAAACCCCCACTGTTTGAAGGGCGGAGAGGGTGGGTGTCAAAATTCTCAAGGAATCGACACTTCACAAACAGGCAACAACTTAACAACTGCGGCATGCAGCGAACAAGCTCTCCCATGTCATTACGTGCACCCGTGCACTGACACGACATTCCGAGCTTACAGCGTGCAGCCGGCAGGACAGACATGGCACACTCACTCGTGCATCGCTCATTTTGGCAGCACACAGCAGGAGGCGTTGCATGTCGTCCCGTCCGCACCAACAAACAAAAGGTTGGGCGGACGGCGACAGAAACCATACAGGCGCGACGCCTTCTGCCATAAACTCGCACCGAGAAGCCCAAAGCCCTAGAGCCCTTGAAACGGAAAAGCATTCACAGCACTCAGAAGCCGATGGAAGATCGCATCGTAATCGCTCTCACACCACTCCCAATTCTGCTCACGCGCTAGCGAGAAGTCAAAGCGGCTAACCCCGTCACTCGCATTGGCAGAACTGGCCACACGCTGCCACACTGGCCACCAGCCGTTCTTCTCGGTGAACGACCAAGCGACCTGCAGAAGTTTGTTCAGATTCCGGCAGTTGCCAAAACCTTTTGTCAACGCATGTCTGGCAGGTTCGTTGTCAATGAACAACAGCAAGTGGGGCGGCACCACCTCACTGAGCACAATGAGCGGAACGATTTGCGCAATGATCTCAAGCATGTAGATATAGGATCTCTTGGAAGCGAAATGACGAGCAAACCAAAACGGTACCGATCCAGCAGCAAAGAACGTCCGCTCTCCTACTCTGGCAACAAACCCCCATCCGTTGGTGAATGCTGCCGGCGGCTTATTTCCCCAAGAAGGCACGTCCTCGATCTCTGACGGCTTGAAGCGCTTGCCCTCCAACTCGAAGAAAGCATCTGCGTAGATCACTGCGCGCTCTGCAACCTCATAGCGAACCACCCGTGGCTTGCTGTCACGCAGTCGCAATCTCAGGAACTCCAAGGCTTCTTTGAGACCCTCTGTTAGCTGCCAGTCTGCTGACTCGGAGCGAAAGCAGGCCCCTCGTGCTCGTTTGTAGATTGGTCGCAGAGCCGCCGCGCTCGCTTGGCCGAACAATGACTGCGAAACAAACTGCAGCTTTCCAGCCAACGACGACGCTTCCCTGGGAGCCAGGCGGTTGTTCAGGAGGATCTCCTTCAACTGGTTGTCGATGCGGCGGGCACGTTCCGGTGTGATGGCCACGGTCGCCTCCAGGTCCCCTAGCGAGAGGCTGACTCCCTGAAGCTGGTGTTGCTGGGCCGGTGGCTGCTTCTTGCTGTCCTTAAATTTAAGGCCTAAAGCTGCACAGAGCGTCTGTGTCGTTCGGAAGCAACTGTGTGCCAGGCGCTGGGTCTCCACCGAGCCGAAGTCGTCGACGAAGTGGAGGTTCGGGGAGAGCAGCATACAGCGTGGCATCCACGTCATCAAGTCTGCCACTCTGCAATATCCCCACACGCTGGCAGTGCTGCCGAACAGAAGCACGTTGTGTTTCCACAACGTGGGCCCCTGCGGCGTGTTAAGGACGACAAATGTGTGGCTCGGGTCCTCAACAGGTAGTTGACGATACGCAGCTTCATGGTCCAGCCCCCACAGCCGAAGCCCTCCTTGACGAGGATGCGAGCTGCTTCTAACTGCCCTAGCAAGGTGCACAAAGGCATCGATTCCATGGTACGCAGGAGTGTCAGGTACTCCCACAGTGTCGTTCGCCCCAGAGCTGCGCCAGTCCTCTGCGCGGCGGATCTTGTCCTTCCCATCGGACCCGACTTGGCGCTGCGAACGCGAAGGAGCAAGCAAACCAACCTTCCGGCGCCGGTCGAAGCTTCGCCGTGTGCGAATGCGATGCCAAGGGAACCGTTCGCTTGCACCACCAAGAAGGTGCCTCAAAGGGACCTTCCATGCGACCCATCGCAACATCGGCCGCAATCTCGTCTGCCATGGTTTGCCAACACTCGTCGACCTTACCTCGACGAAGTTTCTGCTGCACGAAGTCGTTGTTCTCCCGGAGGAAGACGTGGATGTCCTTCGGCTCAGCATAGCGACTGTCGTTGCGCACTCGCCAACCTAAACCAGGCCTTATGTCTCCAAGCAAAGGAAAGCCATCATGCATCTCTTGGAACAACGACATGTCACCCCAACCAAACTCCGCCGCTAAGGCTTATGAGTGGAAGCTTCAAAGTGCACTTTCCATGCTTGCCACCGTACGCTCTCTGCACGTGCACGGCTAGGCTCTCGAACCACAGCTTCACCTCTTCTTCGCTATCCTCCACCATCCGCACGACCTCCTCAGCGACAGCTTCGCGAAGAGCAGGTAGATGCTCCTGCCAGTGTTGCCACAAGGGAAGCCACTGTGCGAGCCCGGGCTCCAGTCGCGGGGCTGCTTGGCTCGGGTGCAATGCTTCGCGACTTGCCCGCCAATGTTCCCACATGTCCTCGATGGCGGAGAGGTCAAGCGCGTCGTTGATGATGGGCACTCCTGGACCGTTTAGCAATGGAGCCGACCTCCACAAGGATGCCATGGTTGCTATGGCGCTTCCACCAAGCGGCGACGGCTGGCGCCTGAGCGAATACGGATTTGTCTCTTCAGCTGCTATGCCTGTCCGGGGCTAACCGGGTCCTTTCCGTTATGGAACCGGGTCCTAGGATTTATGTTGCTGACATGAGTGACATGTAAGAACACGTGTATATAGGACATGTGTTGCTGACATGATGGACATGTAAGAACACGTGTATATAGGACACGTGTTGCTGACATGATGGACATGCAAGAACACGTGTGATGGACATGTAAGAACACGTGTATATAGGACGCTTGTTGCTGACATGATGGACATGTCAGAACACGTGTATATAGGACACGTAAAGCAACATGTCTGATGTCGTGCTGAAGGGGGGGGGGCAGGACGGAAAACAAATGCAACTACTGCAGCAACATTGGGCCTACGTCATGTGTGTTCTTGTGGCTCTATGGAAAGAGCGAGATGCTGGACATGTATACAAAGATGTGTGCTTGTGGCTCAATAGAAAAATCAATGCCTGAAAAACTTGGTTTGTTCGAAATGTGAAAACATGTACATCGAAAAATCAAAGCCATACTGACATAATTGCCTGTCCCAAGTTTTGTAGTTCACATGGAATTTCTTTGTTGCAAGATATTTTTGAAGTTATTTTGAAGATTTGTTTGTGCCGAGCAAACCAAACAAATGCAACTTGGTGTTCTTGTGGCTCAACGAAAACAAGAAGCTTGAGATTTTGTGTTCTGAAACCCTAAAGTCAGCTTTTTGTACGATTCACAACGACTTGAAAATTAGTGTGTGTGTGTTCATGATTAAACATGAAGGGAATCTAAGCTTTCGTAACGTCCAGCTCATGCCCTCAACCCTGGACCCTAAACTGTAATCCCACCCAACCCCCAAACCCGCCCACCCACTCCTGCAGGTAGGTATAGATAAGTAGATAGGCAGGAGGGAGGTACTTGTAGGTCTAGGGGCACCGGCAGGCTTCCAGGTCTCTAGATAGCTAGGTAGGCGGGCATGTAGGTAAGGAGGCATTGATCAGGAAAGAAGTTTAAAGGTAGCAGGCAAAAGTAGTTGTAATTAGGCATTCGCGCAGGCTCTGTCAGGATGTCAGGTCGCCACATCAGAGGTCTTCGGAGCCCCGTGCAGGGGCGTACCCGCACCACGCCCTTGAAGGGGCTGCGGGATGAACCCCGAATAGGGGTGAGCTTGGACCCCGAACAGGGGTCGTCGGAGCCCCGTACAGGGGTGTGGATGAACCCCGAAAAGGGGGGAGCCTGGACCCCGAACAGGGGTCGTGAGAACCCCGTGCAGGGGTGTGGATGAACCCCGAACAGGGGTGAGCTTGGACCCCGAACACGGTTCGTTAGAGCCCCGCACAGGGGCGTCCGATGAACCCCGAAAAGGGTGAGCCTGGACCCTGAACAGGGGTCGTGAGAACCCCATGCAGGGGTGTGGATGAACCCCGAACAGGGGTGAGGATGAACCCCGAGCAGGGGTGAGGCGGATCCTCAAAGACAGATGCAGAGAGAAAGAAAGAGAGAGAGAGAGAGAGAGAGAGAGAGAGACAGCGAAAATAATTAACGAAGCAAGGAAGGAAGCAAGGAAGGAAGGAAGGAAGCAGGGAAGGAAGCAGGGAAGGAAGAAGGAATGATCAAGATGAGGGTGTGACTGTAGATGCGAGGAATGAGCAGGCAGCAAGGAGGGATGTGAGGGAAGGAAGAGGCAGGAAAGTCATGCATGGATTCAGTATCTCTCTGCTCACTTTCCGTCTGTCGCCGGCCAACCAGGCTGAGACAGTCT